GGGGGTTTGGGATTCTGGGATTGGGGAGGGTCACCCAGCTGGGGACAGGGGTTTTGGGGTGAAATCCTGGAATTGGGGAGGGTCACCCACCTGCGGGGACACATGGGGGGGTTTGGGGTGGGATTTTGGGGTTGGGGAGGTTCACCCACCCGCGGGGACACACAGGGGGTTTGGGGTGGGATCCTGCGATTGGGGAGGGTCACGTAGCTGGGGGACAGGGACAGCAGTTTTGGAATGAAATCCTGGAATTGGGGAGGGTCATGGAGCTGGGGGACAGTCAGAGCAGGTCAGGGACGGGGTTTGGGGTGAGATTGTGGAACTGGGGAGGGCCACCAAGCTGGGGACACGCAGGGGGTTTGGGATTCTGGAATTGTGGAGGTTCACCAAGCTGGGGACACTCAGAGAGGGTCAGGGATGGGGTTTTGGGATGGAATTGTGGAATTGCTGAAGCTGGAAAAGACCTCTGTGACCACTGAGTTCAACCTGAGTCCCATCCCCACCAGGGCCCAGAAGAACAGCGAATTCCCCCCTAAAAACTAGAAATTTCCTCTCAAAAAACTACAATTTCCCCCCAAAAAACTACAAATTTCCATCAGAAAATGACAAATTTCCCTCAAAAACTATAAATTTCCCTCAGAAATAACAAAATCTCCCCCAAAACTGACACATTTCCCTCAAAAAAACTACAATTTCCCTCAAAAAATTACAAATTTCCCTCAAAAAATAATAAATTTCCCTCAAAAAATGACAAATTCTCCACAAAAAAACCAACAAATTTCCCTCAAAAAATCGTTAATTTCCCTCAAAAAATTACAAATTTCCCTCAAAAAATAATAAATTTCCCTCAAAAAATGACAAATTCTCCACAAAAAAACCAACAAATTTCCCTCAAAAAATCGTTAATTTCCCTCAAAAAATTACAAATTTCCCTCAGAAAACAACAAATTTCCCTCACAAAATGACAATTTCCCCACAAAAAACCAACAAATTTCTCTCAAAATCCACAAATTTCCCTCACAAAATTACAAATTTCTCTCAAAAAATGACAAATTCCCCACAAAAATCCAACAACTTTCTCTCAAAATCTACAAATTTCCCTCAGAAATAATAAATTTTCCTCAGAAAACAACAAATTTCCCTCAAAAAACAACAAATTTCCCTCACAAAACTACAAATTCCCCCAAAAAACAACGAATTTCCCTCACAAAACAAATTTCCCTCAGAAAAGAACAAATTTCCCTCAAGAAACGACAAATTTCCCTCACAAAATTACAAATTTCCCTCAAAAAACAACAAATTTCCCTCACAAAACTACAAATTCCCCCAAAAAACAACAAATTTCCCTCACAAAACAACAAATTTCCCTCAGAAAACAACGAATTTCCCTCAAAAAATGACACATTTCCCTCACAAAACAACAAATTTCCCTCAGAAAACAATCCATTTCCCCCAGTAAATGACAATTTTCCCTCACAAACCCCACCGATTCCCCTCTTTCCCGCACTCACTCCAGGATCTCGTTGTACTCGATGGTCTCCTCCAGGTTCTGCAGGTTGGGGTTGACGCTGCGGATCGCCCTCATGTAGGCCTTGAGCAGCTGAATGTCCCTCTTCTGCCAGGGCAGGGAAAAACGGGATTGGGAATGGGAATCACCCCAAAGATCCCGGCCTGGCCTCAGAGAGCCACGCTCAGCTCGTTTTTGCCTTTATTTTTTGGGGGGTTTCGGTGTCAAAGTTCCTAAAATTGATCCTTCCCATCCCAATCCTGGCGTTCCTGGAGCCCCCAGCCCATCCCCACACAGCCACATTCATCCCACACCTTCCCCCAGCCGCTTTTTCCCCATTTTTTCCAGGGTTTTGGTGTCCAACAATCCAAATCTGCCTGTTTTTTTGGGATTTTGGTGCTCAAGCCCCCAAATCTTCCCCTTCCCATCCCAATCCTGGCGTTCCTGGAGCCCCCAGCCCATCCCCACACAGCCACATTCATCCCACACCTTCCCCCAGCCGCTTTTTCCACATTTTTTCCAGGATTTCAGTGTCCAACAACCCAAATCTGCCTGTTTTTTCCTGTTTTTTCAGGATTTTAGTGCTCAAGCCCCCAAGTCTGCCCCTTCCCATCCCAATCCTGGCGTTCCTGGAGCCCCCAGCCCATCCCCACACAGCCACATTCATCCCACACCTTCCCCCAGCCGCTTTTTCCACATTTTTTCCAGGATTTCAGTGTCCAACAACCCAAATCTGCCTGTTTTTTCCTGTTTTTTCAGGATTTTAGTGCTCAAGCCCCCAAGTCTGCCCCTTCCCATCCCAATCCTGGCGTTCCTGGAGCCCCCAGCCCATCCCCACACAGCCACATTCATCCCACACCTTCCCCCAGCCGCTTTTCTCCAATTTTTTCCACGATTTCAGCATCCAACAACCCAAATCTGCCCATTCCTGAGCCAATCCCGGCATTCCTGGCCCCACCTGCTCGGCCAGCTGGTGTTTGTGCTCGGCCGAGGTCTTCTCCAGCTCGGCGATCCGGGTCTGCTGCTGCTGCACCACCGAGCGCAGGTGCTTGATGCAGTTGTGGTTGGGCAGCTCATCCTTGGGCATCTCCAAGCTGCCAGGAGCGGGGAAATAAAGGTGGAGATGCCAAATTAGGGGGAATTTATACCTTTCCAGAGCTAATCCAAGCGTGGAAACCTCTGAGTGCCAGACTGGGGGAGAATTCTGAGAATAAATGAGGATTTTCCTCCTCCATCACCACCTCACTGGGCAGCTCCAAAGCCTGACAGCCTTTTCCATGGAAAAATTCCTCCTGCTGTCCCATCCTGAACCTCTCCTGGAGGAATCTGGGGCTGTTCCTTCTCATGCCGGTGTTCCCTGGGAGCAGAGCCCGGCCCCACCCGGCCCCACTCTCCCGTCAGGGAGGTGTGGGGTGAAAAGATCCCTCCTGAGCCTCCTTTTCTCCAGGCCCAGCCCTTTCCCAGCCCCCTCAGGACTTCTCCAGAGCCTTCTCCTGCTGCTCCAGCCCTTCCCCAGCTCCATTCCCATCTCCAGCCCCTCAATGTTTTTGTGGCCGTGAGAGCCCAGAGCTGCACCCAGCGCTGGAGGAGCCCCAGCAGTGTCAACACAGGGGGACAGACTTAAAAACCCATCCCAATCCTTTCTCTGCAGGATCTTGGCCTTCAAAGCCTGTGGGATCCCAATCCCAGGAGCTGGAATGGCTCTGGGAAGACCCAAAAAGCTCCAACACCCAAGTGAGCTAAAAGAGAAATGGGTTCCATTTAAAAAGCCCTTCCCAACCCTTTCTCTGCAGGATCTTGGACTTCAAACCCTGTGGGATCCCAATCCCAGGCTCCTTCCCTGAACCTGTGACCATTCCTGTGCCCATTCCGTGTCCATCCCCATCCCATGGCCATCCCAGGGCCCTTCCTGTGCCCATTCCATGGCCATCCTGGTGCCACCCTGTGTCCATCTCCATCCCGTGCCCATCCCAGGAGCCTTCCTGTGTCCATCTCCATCCTGTGTCCATCCCAGGAGCCTTCCTGTGTCCATCCATGGCCATCCTGGTGCCACCCTGTGTCCATCCCAATCCCGTGCCCATCCCAGGAGCCTTCCCATGCCCATTCCATGGCCATCCTGGTGCCATCCTGGTACCACCCTGTGTCCATCCCCATCCTGTGTCCATCCCAGGGCCCTTCCCATTCCCATCCCCATCCCATGGCCATCCTGGTGCCATCCTGTGTCCATCTCCATCCTGTGTCCATCCCCACCTCATGCCCGCCCCCACACCGTGCCCCTCCTCACCCGCATCCCTGCTCGCAGGTGACCGGGCGCTTGGGGTTGTGCTCGCAGTCGTTGAGGTGTGCCATGAGGTTGTCGAGGCGCACGACGGCCGTGCAGCCGAAGACGGCGTTGTCGCAGGTGATCTGCAGCTTGGAGAGCATGTTCCGCATGATCCGCGGCACCGGGCGCAGGTGGGCCACCGTCACCACGCTGCGGTCCACGGGGCACGTCTGCTGCTGCGAGAACCACTGCGTGATGCAGGCATTGCAGAAGGCGTGCTCGCAGTGCGGGGCCTGCGGGGAACGAGGCCGGAGTCACCGGTGGGATCCTTGGGATCGGGAGAAACCTCCCGGATCGTTGAGTTCGAGATGAGAATGAGCCCTGCCAGAGCCCTGAGTGGCGCCTCGGCTCGCTCATGGGATTGTTCTTGGGGTCACACGTGGGATCACTCATCATCACTCGTGGGATCGTTCGGTCATGGGATTGGTCATGGGATTGGTCATGGAATCGTTCATGGGATTGGTCATGGAATCGTTCATGGGATTGGTCATGGGATCACCATGGAATCATTCATGGGATTGTTCATGGGATCGGTCGTGGAATCGTTAATGGGATTGGTCATGGGATCACCATGGAATCATTCATGGGATTGCTCATGGAATTGCTCATGGGATTGGTCATGGAATCGTTCATGGGACTGGTTCATGAGGTCACACATGCGATCACTCATCGTCACTCATGGGATTGTTCATTGGGTCATTCACGGGATTGTTCATGGAATCGTTCATGGGATTGGTCATGGGATTGTTCATGGGATTGGTCATGGAATCATTCATGGGATTGGTCATGGGATCGTTCATGGGGTCACACGTGGGATCACTCATCGTCACTCATGGGATTGTTCATTGGGTCATTCACGGGATTGTTCATGGAATCGTTCATGGGATTGTTTGTGGGATTGCTTGTGGGATCATTCATAGGATGGCTCATGGGATCACACATGGGATTGCTCATGGGATCGTTCATGGGATCACACATGGAAACCTTCATGGGATCGCTTATGGGATCACACACGGGATTGTTCATGGAATCTCTCACAGAATCATTCAAGGGACTGCTCATGGAATCGCTCATGGGATCATTCACGGGATCACACATGGGATTGTCACTGAATCACACATGGGATTGTTGAGTTTGGGAAGAACCTCCCAGATCATCAAGTCCAACCCATGACTGATCCCTGCCAGAGCCCTGAGTGCCACCTCCACTCCTCTGGGATGGGCTCCCAACCTCCCTTCCCACGTGTAACAGCCCATGGAAAAATTCCTCCTGATGGCCAACCCGACCCTCCCTTGGCACAGCTCGGAGCCATTTCCTCTTCTCCTGCTGTTCCCTGGGGGAAGAGGCCAATCCCCACCTGGCTACAACTATGATTTTCCCCAAAACCCTGCAAATTCCCCCCAGAATCACGGAAGGACTTTGCCTCAGAGCTCTCCCTCTCACCCTGGGAGCAGAGCCCGGCCCCACTCTCCCATCAGGGAGGTGTGGGGTGAAAAGATCCCTCCTGAGCCTCCTTTTCTCCAGGCCCAGCCCTTGCCCAGCCCCCTCAGGACTTCTCCAGAGCCTTCTCCTGCTGCTCCAGCCCTTCCCCAGCTCTGGCCACGCTGCAGCCCCTCAATGTCCCTGTGGCCTCACGTTTCCCGCTCTTTTTCTCCCCTCACGTTTCCCACTCTTTTTCTCCCCTCACGTTTCCTGCTCTTTTTCTCCCCTCACGTTTCCCACTCTTTTTCTCCCCTCACGTTTCCCACTCTTTTTCTCCCCTCACGTTTCCCGCTCTTTTTCTCCCCTCATGTTTCCCGCTCTTTTTCTCCCCTCATGTTTCCCGCTCTTTTCTCCCCTCACATTTCCTGCTCTTTTCCCCTCACATTTCCAACCTTTTCCCCCTCACATTTCCTGCTGTTTCCTCCCCTCACATTTCCTGCTGTTTCCTCCCCTCACGTTTCCTGCTGTTTCCTCCCCTCACGTTTCCCGCTCTTTTTCTCCCCTCACGTTTCCCGCTCTTTTTCTCCCCTCACGTTTCCCGCTCTTTTTCTCCCCTCACGTTTCCCGCTCTTTTTCTCCCCTCACGTTTCCCGCTCTTTTTCTCCCCTCACGTTTCCCGCTCTTTTTCTCCCCTCACGTTTCCCGCTCTTTTTCTCCCCTCACGTTTCCCGCTCTTTTTCTCCCCTCACGTTTCCCGCTCTTTTTCTCCCCTCACGTTTCCCGCTCTTTTTCTCCCCTCACGTTTCCCGCTCTTTTTCTCCCCTCACGTTTCCCGCTCTTTTTCTCCCCTCACGTTTCCTGCTCTTTTCCCCTCACATTTCCAACCTTTTCCCCCTCACATTTCCTGCTGTTTCCTCCCCTCACATTTCCTGCTCTTTTTCTCCCCTCACGTTTCCCGCCCTTTTTCTCCCCTCACGTTTCCCGCTCTTTTTCTCCATGGACTATGTGGGACCATGTGGGACCAGGCGAGACCAGGTGAGACCAGATGGGACCAGGCAGTACCAGGTGGGACCAGGTGACACCAGGTGGGACTTACCTGCACCGGCTCCTCCAGGACCCCGCTGCAGATGGGGCAGATCAGGTCCTCGTCAACGTCCCCCTGGAAGCGAGCCACATCATACCCCATCGCTCGTCACCGGCGCCAGAACCCTGCGGGGCGGCAGCGTCAGGATCCCGGGAATGCTCCAGGGCACATCCCGACCCCCGGATTCCCGAATTCCCAGAAATTCCTGGAGGGGAAAGGGGTCTCGGCCCCTCCGTGATGTCCCCGCTGCTGCTCTCGCACCACATTCACAAGGCTGGGTGAATCGCACAGGTGGGGAGGGGGGGATTTGGGGGTTTGGGGTGGGTTTGGGATATTTGGGATGGATTTGGGATATTTGGAATGGGCTCAGGATGGGTTTGGGATATTTGGGATGTTTGGGATGGATTTGGGATGTTTGGGATGGATTTGGGATGTTT